ACAACTGGGGCCTTATGGAGAAATCTAGGGGAAACCGAAGGACTCCCAACTCCAGCTCACAAGATCTGAGAAAATCCAGGCTGTCAGCGGATGACCGGACATTACCCACTCCTAGGTGCTCTGGCACGGTGTAAGGAAGTATAATTTTTATTATGTTTTACATTGTGGGCAAGGGAGGGGATTAAGTATATGCAAACATCACATTCGGATGCAATGCTCGCCAAGCTTTCCAGCCCAGTCTGCTACAACAAAGTTAATGGCCTTATAAGTTGTTTTCAAGAGCACAAACAATTCCGTCTTAGAACCACGAAGCTCTATAAAAATTATTGTAACCGTTTTATTGAAGTGGACCCATCATTAAAAATTAGACACAACAACATGACTCAGCAAGGCACATGTCAGCACTTAGATTAAAAGAAAAGTAACTGGAGCTAAAGCCTAGGCAAAGATCACATGGTCTATGGCAAGTACCACCATTGTGGGTGTTTCAAAGTATTAAAGGATGCAAAGGGTCGGCAATTTATTTTCCTGCCTGGATGACTTGCAGTGAGAGAGGACCAGCATGACACAACCAGGAAACGGACCTTGCCTAAGCCATCAATATATGACTTCTTCCACATACAATCTATAGACACAAAAGTATTTTGATACATTTACATGCATCTGATCCTTAAATAAGAACTCCCAAATTTTTATTTTATTAACCCTTTCAGTGGGGCTTCCCCCAGACTGCAGGGGTTAAATACTCAAAGATCTACTCACCCAAAGCTCCAATCTGTCCCCTCCTCTGCAGCACTTTGGAATATTCCTCGGCATCCTTGCTTCTATGTACAATTTATAGACGTGATTATTTACTGGATCTTAGACCGCTGCAGGAGGAGGGGGGAGAGACATTCCAGGGACCAGTGTAGAAGCCAGCTCAGAGCTTTGGGGGAGTATATCTTTTAGTTTGTTTTTAACCTAGATACAAACGAGCAGTTAACCCTTGTGAGGCTAGCCCCGCTGCAAGGGTTAATAAAGAAAATTCTGCTTTAATCTGTTACAAATGCATGCCAAAAAAATATATATATAAAAAAGATTTTGACATGCATTTGTAACAGATTAAAGCAGAATTTTCTTTATTAACCCTTGCAGCGGGGCTAGCCTCACAAGGGTTAACTGCTCGTTTCCATACATAAACACTTTTAAAACGGATTTCAACTACAATTAGGCATCCAAATGAAGCCTGGATCATCTTTAATATACGATAGAGATGCATTCTTCTTCACAGAGGGTTCTATACATACACCTTGTGATCGGATTGAACAATTTTCATTAGATCTACCAATCTATTGCACAAGAACAGAGGCGGCACACTCAGATTGCAAGGTGTATGCCCAGCTAGGATCCCATCATTCATGTTCCAGCTCCGGAAAAAAAAAAAGAAGGTTCCAGGAACAAAAATATTCCTCTCCTCGATACAAAAATATTCCTCACATGTATACAAACATATTCCTCTCATCTATACAAACATATTTCTCATCCCCTAGATCTGCAAAACCCCCATACCAGATGGGTTCTAATAAACCAACCAGCGCTTATCACCCATTTCCTGAACCGCTGTCAATGTTCACCAATCTCCCACGTGATACTTATAAACAATATACAGATGGACTCGAATACTCTGCACCAACAAGCCTAATGCACACCGGAAGAAGTTGAAATAAAATATGGTCTGTAGTACGCCGTGACGTTTACTACCGCATACAGCGAAAACAGAAATCAGATTCCTAAGCAACTTCAATGAACATCCTGACACTGGAACAAAGGGGAACGCTGTGTATTGCAGATAAAAGGGATGCAGACAAAAGAAACAATTTGCAGCTTTGGTGTCTGTACAGAAGATCGGAAGCCGGCCGACCAAGTTGGAGCGAGGATAAAGGGGTACGCACCTTGCACTCACGCAGAGGAAAACCTTTGACATCAGGGCACAAAGGAGCCGAGACACGTCAGACAATACAGCGGTAAAAGCCAGGTCACCATCTCTGTGCATTCCCTGCAAAGTTCAGCATATTGCCCGTCCACTGCAGCAGCCGCACAGATCCTCAGGATGTCCTTTAGTCCTCGTGCCTTCAACGGCAGCGGGCGGCTATTCTGGAGTCACCACTTCCTCCCCGAGACTAATACAAATCATTTTCACACAGTGATTCAGACGCGCATAGTGATCGAGCTGACGTCTCCAGCCACACCACCCTGTTAGTGGC